GTTAAATTAAGTAGTGAGCATAGATAGTTAAATACCGTCACGACAGTAGAGTGTAGATAAAAACTAAATTTAGTTGTATATAGTAGTTACACACACACACACACACACACACATATATATATATATATATATATATATAATTTGAACCTATCTATAATTTAGTGTGTGCAAATGTCGTTAGTTACGCATGCCTAACCCAAGTTCATTCTTGAATTTCTTTAGATCATATTGTATATAAAAGACATATTAATACCAGAAATAAACCACCTTATAACACCAAATGTTGTTTGTATTTAATTAGACACTCAAAGTTTCGCTTTACAGCTTCTACAGGAGCATTCACTAAAACATAGAGCCTTTACCATAACAAGCACAAAACTGGCGTTCCATCCAGAACTTGATAATATTAAAAATTCTCAAGAAGACCAGTTTTCCTGAAAACTTAATTAACAACATTATGAAGAAATATCCACGAATAGTGAACACCAGTGAAACGCTAGTATTTGGTGTACATAAACTATAACGATATTGTTACCGTTTATGAGTTCTTTATGTTTTAAAAGTAAAATAAAATATTGAACATTTTATACATTACATATTAATAAATTTCGCTGAAAGACATTTATAAACCTTAATTACACATCAAGAGTTTTTTTCAAGGCGAAGAATTCGATTCCAACACTATGGCGGTTGTATACAAATTTACACATATTTGAGTCCAGAAGATGACGTGAAACCACGTTAAAACATTTGGAGTGACTTTTACGATCATTGATCGGTTTAAATAAAAATTGTGTAGTATAAAATGTTGTTCGTTTGTGGATTTTAATACTTTAAATATATACTAGCTGGAGTACCCGTCCCGTGCATGGAAGTTATGTAAATTCATGATTAATGAAAGGTTATCTTAGGACATGAAAAAATGCTTCCCATATATGTAATTGTAAAAACGTTCATAAAAACTACGAAACACAAAATGTGAAAACGCAACTTTGCATGTATCTCAGCATAGACCCAAAAAATCTTCATACCAAATTTGGTGAAGATCCATTAACAGAGTGTGAAGTAGCGACAAAAAACGCCCATAAAACCGCAAATATGAAAATTTTTATGGACCTAATGAACCTCCATTTCAATTTTGGTGAAGATCCATCTACACGAAGTAGTTACATGGACATACAACAGATAGTAATATTATATTTATGTGGATACACAAGTTCCTTGAACATTAACCTTTTAAGTTTATATTGATAGTACGGTATGTTGCTTAGTGTTTCGCATCAAAATACATATCAAACCAACCTAAGAAATCAACCCAGTATTTACATAAGCTTCAACAACACGCGTAACGAGACACCTTGCGGTAAAGAACTTCAACATTTTCTGCTCAGCAGAGGAAGGAAGAACGTTGCAGATAAAACTACCTTTATTAATTAGACATTTGGAATTAATACTAAATGATATATCTTCGTCTTTTTCTTATAAGCTTAATATTGTTGTGTAAGTGACACAGACAATACCATAACACAGAGTTAAATAATATATAATAAACTGATAAAATACATATGTTTTGTTTCAATTTCGCGTAAAGCTACTCGTAGGCTATTCGCGCAATGAAAACTGAGTGACCATCACATTATAACCCCCTCATGTTGAAAGTGCAAGTGATGGGATTCAAACCCGCGACTCACTGATTGGGAGTCGAGAGTCCTAGCAACCAGGCCACGTAAATGTAACAAAATAAGTAAGTGAATGAAAAGCACATCATAGTAATTCAAAATGAGGAAAAAAGAGAGAATGAAATATCCTTTTTACAAAATCTAAACTACTGGTTAAAAAAAAGAGAGATGGTTTAATTTCTTTGTATTTCGCCCAAAACAACACTAGCCGTCCCTAATTTAGCAATTAAAGACTAGAGGGAAGGAAGCTAGTCATCACCAACCACTTCCAACTCTTGGGCTGCTCTTTTACCAACGAATAGTGGGATTGACCGTCACACTATAACGCCCCCACGACTGAAAGGACGAACATATTTGGTGGGACTGAGATTTGAACGCGTAACCCTCAGGTTACGAGTCGAGCGCCCTAACCACCTGGAAGAAAGAGAAAATAAACGAGAGAACATAGGTGTGGGTGTAAAATGTAAATGACAGTAAACGATTGAGAAAATCGTCAGAAAGAAACACTAAATGAAAGAGATTTTTCGTTTAATCATGTTCTTAAGTTTTAATTAAGAGACTGTTTCTCGCATTCACATGAAACAGACTTTAAGACAACTAGTGTGAGATGTGAAAGATCGTGTTTATTACCGCTAAGATGTCAAAGAATGAAATATTTTTTGCAATTAATCTATCAACTAAAGCTCAAGGAAGAGTGAAAATGAGAAAGGAAACTGTTAAAAATGTCAAACTTGGTTCAGTTGCCGATAGACGCATCACAGTGTCATCGATGTATCTACCGTAAAAATTAGGGATATTGGAGTTCAATGTAGCCAACAAGCAAACTGGCGTAAAAAGGACCCATTTTAGCACCCATGCAAACGCCATAAGTTTGTTAATAAACACTGTTCTTAAGTATGAAGGTGGTAAGTTAAGTACGAATTCTGTTATTCGCAATACAGTGTCTGTTGGAAAACCAAGATCTTCTCATCTGTGCAGAAAAACAACTTTAAAGCTTGTAGACTATCATGGTATCTTACAATATCTTCTGTGAAAAGGAGGATAGAAAAGTTGGTAGGAAAGCGAAAAGTACTGATTAACTGGATGGCATGAGAGGAATCTTTGATGTTACTGTTTTGATTATGTGGAAGAGTGAATAATATCAAGTAAACTAGAAATCAGTTCAGAGGTGCAATTACAAACTGATACTATAAATCTTCCAGGATTTTTGGGTTTATTAAGTTTGGAAATACTAAATCTTTCTTTTCCATAATCAGTGGACTGCAGGTCTATTAAATCTTGTAACATTATTATTCTTGTAGTTGAAATTTACCTCTGTAAAACTCCTCGTTTAGAAATATCACAATACCAAGGGTCCGTACTCAGCTTTTGACATTATGTACACGTAAAATACATTGTTTCCCTTTCTAGTGCTCTTCCACTGGTCTTATCTTGAAATCATTTGTTAATATATTATACTTATTGATTCACTAACTCAGGCAAATTTTCTGTGGAAGATATTGAAATCTTATCTTGAAATCATTTTGTTAATATATTATACTTATTAATTCGCCCCCCCCCGTGGCACAGCGGTATGTCTGCGGACTTACAACGTTAGAATCCGGGTTTCAATACCCGTGGTGGGCAGAGCACAGATAGCCCATGGTGTAGCTTTGTGCTTAATTACAAACAAACAAATAATCTTATTGATTCACTGACTCAGGCACATTTTCCGTGGAAGATATATCTTCCACGGAAAATTTGCCTGAATCAGTGAATCAATAAGCATAATATATTAACAAAATGATTTCAAGATAAGATTTCAATTGAAGTCATCACCGGAGTTTTGGAAGATGCGAGGATTATATTCAGTACAATTGAAAAATGTTCAGGAATGGTATGTTTCAAAGTTACCGTTTAGAACACTTAACATGCAGGTTTCTAAGACGTTTATTTAAGGAAAAAATACCCATTTTCTTCTTTCTTTTTCTATATGTAGTGGTTATGTTTTTCATGTTAAGAAATTGTTGTATAATTAACTAAAAAAGTATAATGTAACATCAGTGTTCGAGATATTGACACCGTTCCAAACATGTTAGTCTAACTCAGAAACTAAGAATGATGTTATTCCATAACTATATGTATGAATAACAAAACACGAAGTCATTTTAGAAGCAATACAGCATTTTTTGTAACAAAATACACCAGTAAGTATGGATGAAAAAGGAAGAAAGTTAAACTAAACTACGAATTTTTAGCAGTGGGTTGGAATAAAGTTGACATTATAAATATTTTAGAATTTCCACGACAAATAGATATCACTTTTTCTTATACCAAATAGGAAGACAAGTAATAATCTTATTCTGTGTCTTTTGGTTGCTGTTTTTTTAAAGAATTATTAATCCAAACGTTTCATGATTGTTCAGATTTTATGACTTGAATTTAATTTCAAAAGTTAAAACTGTTTCACTTTTATCGTGTATGCTTACGACAATACAAGCAGAAAAACACTTTTAATTAAGGCTGCAGACATAGTAAGCAACAGAGCTCGAGTTAAGGGCGATAAAATTCCTAATATTGTAATCAGTAGTATGTTAAGCCTATAACTTGTACAGACGTATGACCTACTATTATTTTTCCTACAGCTAGAAATTGTTACTACACTCCAAGAAAGATTATGGAATGCATTTGTGGCTTTCAATTGGATTGTAAGTCCGATTCTATTGGCACTGATAGTACTACATATTCTAGGTGGTCCTTATAATGATGACAAGTTATCGTTGCTGGTTATGGTATGTATTGTTTGTTTTTGAATTTCGCGCAAAGCTACACGAGGGTTATCTGCGTTAGCCGTCCCTAATTTAGCAGTGTAAGACTAGAGGGAAGGCAGCTAGTAATCACCACCCACCGCCAACTCTTAGGCTACTCTTTTACCAACGAATAGTGGGATTGACCGTCACATAATAACGCCCCCACGGCTGAAAGGGCGAGCATTTTTGGTGTGACGGGGATTCGAACCCGCGACCCGCAGATTGGGAGTCGAGTGCCATAACCACCTGGCCATGCCAGGCCTATGGTATGTATAAAAGTTTTACAGAATTATAAACCTTGATATATTCCCTCTAATAATGAAAATGTGGCATATTATTTGAAATTCGTTTTTCCGACAGCTTGTTGAATTAAACCTGACACATGAAGAATTCAGATATCCTAATCTTCATATTCATCCATTATTTTTCAATTGTACGGGTAGAAAATAATAATAATATCGATAAAATAATAAACTTGCCCTGTTAAATAAATTATGGGAAAATGCATTATTATGCATTGCAAGAGGTCACGTAAACAGTCAACAGTGTCAGATGACTTTCTTCGTTAAAAGTTAGTTTAGTTTTATTCAAGACACATTGAATATGTGTTTTTGCTTGATACACAAGTCGCATGATGTTTTAGAAAATTTGATAGGATAAGAATTTGGAAAGAATATATTGTTCGAAAAGTCTTGATTGAGTTGTTTTCTAGACATCTATATGCAATTCGACATGTTTTTTTTTTTACTGTAAATATAATGTATACATAGTTTAACACGTTTTAATTACAATTCTTAGCTTGGTAATGTATACACTGTTCAACAGGTTTTAATTGTAGTTTAGTGATTGACGTGCTGGATTGCGGAATGGAAGGTCCAAGGTTCAAGTCTTGCTTTGCTGCTGAACACCCGCCGCATTTTCAACTTTGGAGAAGTTGTAGTTATAAGATTTAATTTCACTTTTCATTTAAGAGTAGCTCCATACGTGGAGGGTACTGTAGACTGGTTGCCCTTTGGTCAACATTTATAAACCTTAGGTGGCTATGCTTGAATCTTAGGGTTCTTTAGCTTGTCCATTAGTCCATCTGTCACTTAAGGTGAGGTTTCAGGGCATGCCCTTTGTGACATCCCGTTTCATCTGTATTTTGTTAGTCAAGGAACATTTACTGAAGGTGGTCTTAGTGAATACTGACTACGTTAAAAGTTAGGCATTGAACTTTGTTTTTAATGGAAACCAGCATAACTATTACGTATCTCTATTTGATCAAGGCTAAACCATCAAAAATCTATAGTCCTCTAAAGACCAAGGCATATAAAGTTTTCAAAATAGCTGGTATATTTAGCCAGAACTCTTGACGCCACCTTTAAAAGCATTGCATTATATTTCTAGCATTTTATGCTTTAATATTTCTAGTTTTAATCATCATACTTGTCTATTCTGGTGCATTTGGATTAAAATAACGAATGCTAACCAAATTTAAACTGTTTTATTGAGGAAAATGCCTTTATAAGATAGAAAAGAGAGACTTAAATATATGAACAGTTTTTGCTAGATTATGTTAACAGAAAAATCGTGAAATGTGTGGTTAAATAATATCTTTAAAAAATGTTGTTCTTACTCAATAGGTACTGTGTCGATTTGTGGTCATAGTGCTGTTCTCAATGTCCATCATCAGTGTTCCAGATTATTACATGGCCATCATTGCTGTACGTATTGTCCATGATGAGTGCTTTGAAACTTATGACACTTTGGTAAGATATGATGATCCAGAAGATGAAAGTGATGAACATGTAGAGATATACAGTTTGGTACAAGATGAAGATCTAGAAACTAGTGAAGGTATCCTAAATGAAGAAATACTTTATACACATGCGAATGAGTTGTCAGAAGGTCATCAGGCAAGTGAAGATATGGCTAATGATAAATCTTCAGAATGATGTTGGGAATTATTACCTCATCTGAACACAAATGTGGGTTTTATACATCACAGCAAACGCTTTAAAACAAATAAAATGAGGATTTACAATAACTAACAGATATAAAATTGAAGTAGAAAATGTAAGTAATACGTTCCAATAATCACAGTTTTTAGTTGTTTTTTTTTAAAGAAAGAAAGCCCAAACAGTTTCCTAATTAACCTTTGGAGTTTGTGGCTTTTGAAGACATTTTCCCCTGAACTAAATGCTGTTTTAAGAGTTAGAATTTTCAAACAATTACGTTTACTTGAAGAATTTCACTTTAATACGTGTCATGCATCGAAATCTTGTATGTATAATGTTGCGGGGTTGTACATAGACCAAATATATTTATTTACCTGCTGAGAGTGGTTTTAAGTTAATTGACTACCATAATCTGTAGATACTTAAATAATAGAAGTGCTTTATTAATGTAATGTCATTACTAGATGGCAGCTTCGCCGTATATATATATTTATACATACACACACAGGTAGATAGATAGATAAGTCACGCTGACCTGTGATAAGACTATTATTATGATAAATTAACACTAGAAAGTACTCTCATCGAAACTGCTAATAAGATCAACACAAACACCATGAGCCTGACATCAGCAACAGCAGAATATACTGAGAAATTTAGATGCAATTCAAAAGGTTATATCAAATGTACTTCAAAAAATAACTTCCCAAATACAAGTAGCTTCTTACAGAAATATCCAGTTTCAAACATTTTCTGTTAAGCCTTAAAGAAAACGATATTTATTTAAAACGTTTCTTGAGTTTAAAATGTCTTTAATATATTTATTTAAATTTTCACATCCTCAAATCAACCTCAGTGTATCCTAATATTACAAATAGATGGCACCACCATGATAATTATCACCTCTGTAGCCACAGAATGTGGTTTCACTAAATACCAATATCACATGATACCCAATCTTTAGGTCTCTTATTAATCATAAGTTTGGCTTTACAGAAAAAATATTTAATTGTAATTTATTTATTTTTTAGAAATTTACTTAAAAATAAATTTAATGAACGTAAATATAAATTCCAAAAATCTATTTAATTTGTCTATATTTATGCTATTTACAAAAGTCACTAGATTTTCGTAAAGTACATTATTTTATTTTCTCAGATTATATCACAATAAAATTCTATTCTAATAAGTGTGACTTTAAAAATGTTCAATTACGTATAGAAAATTATCGTTATTACAAAAAGAGCGTACTAATAAATGAATGAAATTTTTAACGACACATTTACTTGTGATTCAATATTTTCAATGCATATAATAATTGCTTAACATCTTTGGTATAATTAAACTTCTTAAAACAAATTTTTTAGAAACAAATCAAAAGATTATTTTCATTTCACTTTACACGGAAATGGAGAACAGTTTTTGGTTCTGGCTACACTTTATACTACCTGACAGCATCAGTATTTCTCCCTCTCTGTATGTATAACTACTCCTTGGTCGCTGGGCCAATCTCACCCATACTTTGTGGGATGATAGTCTGGAACAAGGGGCATGTTAATGGAGAGGGGGACATAACCCCCTCCATCCCATTATTGCTATTTCTAAGCTTTTATTGACTTTGACGCAAGTTAACGTTAACTACATTCATATATAGCGCTACATTTTTACATCAAACAAAAAGCTTGATGAAATATTCCATCCACCGGAGGGATAGCGGTAAGTCTTCGTATTTACAACGCTAAAATCAGGGGTTCGATTCCCCTCGGTGAACACAGCAGATAACTGGATGTGGCTTTGCTATAAAAACATACGCATACACACATTAAATTTTGCATAACATAACATACACACAATGTGAGGGAGGGCACACAAACGTCTTATATACCTCAGATTGCGCTAGCATTTTCTGTGGAGGAATGTAATGAAAAAAAATAGCCGCCACTATTGCAATAATACATAAACTCAGATGAAGTTGATACGACAACAGCCACCATAACGTTGGTATAAAAAGAGTCATTTCTTGAATTATACCCACTTCCTACTTCGACCCGTGACCTTACAACTTTATTCCATAAGATACTTCTACGGCCAATGACCGTCAATTAATTAATTAATAACGTGAAACACTGTGGAAAGACATTAAGATGCGGGTGTTGAAGACGGGTAACAGAAAGCACCCCTATCGTCACTACTTTGGCTGCTACATAATTCCTACAAAGGTACCCTGATCATCACACAGTGTATACCATTTTTTAAGTATATACTTAGTGAGTTCGTAAAGCTTATTCAAAACTTTTGGTGAGGTAACAATGAATATTGTAATAATATGTTATGTTATAAATAAACTGTATGAAAGTTGGGATTTGGGTTATTTATCATAGCATCCACCCACACATTTTTGAAAGTTCCTAACCCGGAAAAAGGAAGGGTACCTCAGCTTGTATGTAATTTACAATATATAAAAGACCAACTTCGTTTCATTACCATTAGTTTTTTAATGATGATCAAACTTATCTTCCATGAACACGGTTACAGCACTTAAATTGTCAACATGATCATATGAAAGTAAAACTTGCCGCTTGACATTAAGACTTCATAAGGTCTTTAACTTTTTTTTTTTTTATTTTTTTTGGAATTCCGATTTCCAATACGAGAATATAACCTATTTTCCTGCTACCACAGAATGATCAAATAAAAAGACCAGGTGTTCATTTAACTCTGTCAGCATCCCTTGTTTCTTTTCGTTAAACAAACGTTAACTATAGCTATTAAACACATCCATGACTTCAATGAGCTAGTTTATTTTTTAATTTGGTTTTATATTTATTTCATTGGGAAAAATTATTTGAAGAGTTTGAGAATTCTGTTAAGACACAAGTCAAGTCTCACAAAATTGAAATATTATTTTAGGTTTCATTGTAATGAATTAAATAAAAACGTATCTATAGAAAGTACATAAATTAACATTTTTCAAGCAGTAACAAATTTAAGCCGTTTTTTAACGAACGTGAAATATGAACAGAATTTTGAAGCTAAATAAAATAACAAAAATTGGTTTGAGATATCTGCTTATTTATCATGCTTCTTTAAATGATTTAAAGACTACTTCACAGGTATTTGTATCATCTCTACACAGTTAATATATTATGACAACGTCCATTCTATAATTGCATCTGAATTATTTATACACAGCTTGTAGTGCCACCTGTAGACATCTTCAAAAATTTACGATGCCACACTTCTGTCTTCTTTCATGGTGGTTTAAAAGGAAAATAGAAAATTTATGCTTTACTATACTAATATATATTTTATAAAGAAAAACGTTGTTACCAATTAGCAGTATCCTTCTTCGAGGATGCTAAACTATTTTGTTATATTGGTGAATTTGTGAAAAAAATTTAGTTACATTTTAAACAATACAATTCTTATGATGTTTGATATCCAGAATTTTTAAATGTTTGTTATAAAAATAATTTGCATCGAAAATTTGAGCAAAGACTATTTACATATTTCAAACTGCAAGATACAAGTATCTTCTAAAAATATAATACATTTATACAGCACTAACAAAGCTTCTGTAATTATGTATTCCTGCTGAAACTATATAAATTGTATTTTAGGTTTAATCTTTTTCCTTAATGATGCGCTAAATATTATAACTCATCCCTTTAATCTGAATATGATTTAATAACTGTCTTTCCTTCTTTCAGTGATAAGTTAGTGGGTTTACAGCGATAAAAATCGGAGTTTGATACTTACAATGGGCACAATGCGGATAATTCATTAAGTAGTTTTGTGCTTAAACAACAAAAATGAAAAAACAATGCTTATCCTACTACTGTTGTTGGAGCATTTCTTGTACTCTATATTGTAGATCTTATATTAATAATTCAAATAAACTTATAACCCGGTAAATATATTAACCTATCGGACTCATCCTGTCTATTTTCACGAATCTTATTCTTTATCCCAACCTCCGAAGATGTTTTAGAGTTTCACTTCCGTCATTCTACTTTCCAAAAATCAGCCAGGGGGGTTATATATCTTATTTGTCTTGAAATTATGTATTTAAACAGAAAACAACATTTGAAAAACAACAACCGGCCCCTTGGCGTATAAATTTCAAAGATTTATTTGCCTAGAACCAACCCCGTTCTTTTTTTTTTAATATTCTTCGAGCCTGATGACATCAATCTCTTGTGTGTATTGAAAATGGTGAATCATGCACTAAGGCTTAGATTGATTGGTAAGTTGGAAATGACATTTTAATTATAGTAAGTATATGGTAATACAATGGTTGTCATAATTCAGATTAAACATTTTTAACATACTTAATATAAGTAGCAACCCACTCACTAGTGTGACTGAAGAAAAGGATCTTGACACCTTGGTGGATAAGTAAATCAAGCCATCGAAACAGTGTCTTGTTGTTATTCGTAAAGCTAATATAATTGTGGGTGTACTTATAAATATATTGATTACAAGTCAAAAATGATAGAATTCTCCAAATACAAATTACTAGTTAGGTATCATTTAAAATATTGTGTACAGTTTTTTTCTCTTTATCTAAGAAAAGATACTGACTTATAGGAAATAATTCAGAGAACGGATGTACTAGAAAGGTGGAAACGCATGATATATGCTAGTCGTTTTACATACATGTGGCCGAGAAGGTCGTTGAATTAATGTGGTTCTAGCGACTTTCGTTCCTTTTCATGCTACTGAAGTCATACATGTTTTGCACATGGTTGCAATACTGCTTGTTGTGCAAGAAGGTCGACAGCTTGTGTCCTTCAAAGGTAGTTCAGGTGGTGTATCGAAGTAACGGCCTCCATTATGCTTGAATGAAAATGACCAGTTACGTGAAGCGTTAGTTTCCCTGGGTAAATACTATGTTGCCTGCAAAGTGAGGAAAATTGGGTTTAAAAGAGTCTGTAGACGAATTCAGCCTGATCAGTTGATGGTACACCATCCAGAGGAAGTGACCGTCATGTGTTCAATAACAGAAAGTGTATAAACTTTATTTGTGATTTAATAATCATTTATTTTGTGCATTACTTCAGTATTTCTTTCTCAGTCTCAGTTATTCGGAAGTTCAGTACTACTTCGTGATAAATATCTTGTCAACCCTTCTGTTAAGAGGACCTATCACATTAGTCTAAAGCTAATATAGTTCGATCTGAATAAACCAACTAGCTTCATTCTGTAGATGGAAAGTTATCATATAGGGATTGTTTAAATATTTTGATAAACGAAGAATAAAATGTGAACTTATTGAAGTTTACAACATTATCCAGGGTATGGATAAGATAAAGGCCACCAATGTGCTGTATTTTACAATAGTAGGCTGATAGAACACAAGTTTAAAGCCTTGGAAAAAAAAAAGACAGGTTTGTCTCCAATTGGCACCGTTTTATTTTTCTAACAGAGTAATTGGCTTATGGATAGAATTGCCATTGGTAGTGTTGAAGATCAGCCCTTTACAGGAGTTTAAGATGGGAATCATTTATTTTCTGAAAAGTTGGGATAAAGTTTTACTTTTCTAAAAAGTAGGTGTACAAGGACAGTCTAGAAGAAACAAATGGATCCTCGTTATTCGTTTGTTATATTTCTAACTAAAATGATATGGAAATTATTCATAAGATGCAATGACGAATGGTCGCCGATATAAGCAATATTTAGTACCACTTACGATTCTCTGATCGAAAAAATGTTTTGCATAACTCCACTAAATGTAACTCTATCATAAAAGTCTTTGCGTGTTCGTTACCCATAAATACATGCAAACCTGCAATTCTTAGTGCGTACACTTTATATTTATTGTTACATGTAATGGTGCTAAGATAATCCAAAAGAAATGCACGTATTGTATTACGTTTCCAAGTTTCGGTCTATACTCCTACGTGCTTGAAAAATGTTTATGACGGTAAGGCTTAAGAG